GTCTTTGTAAGTGGGCAAACCTGCAAAATCAGCAAGGGGTCAAATACTTATTTCCCCCACTGTAGGTAGTAGAATGGTTGTCTGGGTTATTAATACAAATGTAAACGTATACTAAAGGCTTTCAGAGCCGGGGAAGCAGCTTCCTGACAGCCTATATAGGTCAAAATAAGTTGTGGTGATAATGTCAATAATTAAGTTTGACTTTTTTCTACTTTTATAATATATAATATAAGAATAAAATATTATATATAGAAATAATTTATTTAATCAATTTGTTATATCTTTTTTTCCTTTTTATATTTAAACATGATTTAATATGTATTTGTATTTGATTTGTATTGTATAATATGTATTGACCTATATAGATAAACATACACTTTCCCATTCATCTTCAGTTAAAGTAAAAGTACCTTCACTTTCCCACTTATTTTTAATATACAGTAGGTAGTAGAATGGTTGTCTGGGTCAGTGTTTTTCAACCTTTTTTGAGCCAAGGTAACTTTTTTCATTGAAAAAATCTCAAGGCACACCACCAACCAAAAATGTCAAACAAATGTGTAGCCGCCTATAGTAACACTATAGTTATTCTTATCTTATCTTAAGTGTCTTGAATAGGAATCAAATAAACTCAAAAATGTATTTTTATCGTATTTTATATTTCTTCTTTCAAATTGCTCTTAACATGTCCACTTAAATATCCAAAATTATATACAAAATCTAGTCATAAGGAATTATTACATGATTACTCCACCAGTCACTAGAACAGCACAGACACTCAGAAATGGCACATTATTTGCAGATAATTAATTCCTTATCAAAAATTGTTTTTAGACCAATGAGGTGAAATAGGATGATTTTCTACGGCACACCTGACCATCACTCACGGCACACTAGTGTACCGAGGCACAGTGGTTGAAAAACACTGGTCTGGGTTTTTAACCTCCTGAGACCCGAGCTTTTATTTGGCATGCATTTTAGCTTTTTTTTTAAAGATATATGAGATACATATTTAATTAAATGTTTTTACAATTTTGTTCTGACAGTCCCATTGACTCATTTACAGTTTTTCTATTACACAATAAGAACATGATTGGATGGAAATGTATAAAACCATTTTACTTTAGATTTCAAACAGTGTCTGATAGCATCTGCTATGAGGCCAAGAGGTCAAAGCTGGGAGAAAAAAAGAAGTATCATGGTAAAGAGAGACAAAAATGCAACGTCCTCTTATGAGGACACAGGGTCTCAGGAGGTTAATACAAATGTAAATGAAACCAAAGGCTAACACCCTCCCCCCCCCCCCCCCCAGACCGGAGGACCGACCCCTGGCTTTTGGTCTACTCCCCGGTCCCCGTGGCGCTGGTCTTCCTGCTCTACCTCTGCGTGGTGTGGGCCGGGCCCCGGCTGATGAGGAGCCGGGGCCCCGTGGACCTGAAGGCCGTGCTCATTCTCTACAACTTCAGCATGGTGGGGCTGTCCGGGTACATGTGCTACGAGGTGAGATTTGTTTTTTGTCAGCAAATACGTGTTCTGATAGGGAAGTTCTTATCCAGCTTTTTGCACTTCCGATCCGATCCTGGCCTATCAGAGCATGTCTTAAAGTTTAAAGTTATTTATCCCGCTAAACGAACCTCATGGTGAGCTGTGGTCTTTTCTAAAAAAGATCCCCTGTGCTCTCCGGCATCATCAGCCCCATTTTAGATGGATTTTAGCCCCATGTATTCATAACCCACATTACATCTCAAAGTATTTATTAAAAACATATTAAATAATATTTAATTATAAAAATAAATACATACAAAAATATCAAATGTTTATTTGATAACGCATATATGTCTATATATATAATATTTTATTCTTATGTGTATATTTTATATTATTCTTATACATATATATATTTATTTATTTTCCTTAATGTATATATATTTTATTCTTACATTTAATTAAATAATTAATCAAAAAAATTATATATATGTAACTAAATAATAATCAATCCTAAATAAAGCAATTCATCTAGCAGATAGCCGTGAAGCATGGGGGCGTGAGGGTCATGGTTTGGGGCTTTACTGCCTCTAAGACTTAGCAGCTCTGAGTCCAGCGTTCAAATTCAATATTTCAAATATTTAACAGCAATGTAAGAAAAACACATCTTATCTTCTTTCTAAGTGCTTTAAAATGTGGTTCTTTTGCTGAGTGAATGACTAACTCTGGTTCTTTCTCCCGTGTTTCTGTTGGTTCTCCCGTGTCTGTATTGGTTCTCCCGTGTTTCTGTTGGTTCTCCCGTGTTTCTATTGGTTCTCCCGTGTTTCTATTGGTTCTCCAGTTCCTGGTCACATCCTGGCTCTCAAACTACAGCCTCCTCTGTCAGCCGGTGGACTACAGCAGCAGCCCGCTAGCCATGAGGGTAAGGTGCTAATGCTAATGTTGGAATCAAAGATACTACATGCTAATGCTAATGGTGGAACCACAGATACTACATGTTAATGTTAAAAATGGAATCAAAGATATTACATGCTAATCCTAATGGTGGAACCAAAGATAATACATGCTAATGCTAATGGTGGAACCAAAGATGCTACATGCTAATATTAATGGTGGAACCAAAGATGCTACATGTTTAATGCTAATGGTGGAACCAAAGATACTACATGCAAATGCTAATGGTGGAACCAAAGATACTACATGCTAATGGTGGAACCAAAGATGCTACATGCTAATGCTAATGGTGGAACCAAAGATGCTACATGCTAATGCTAATTGTGGAAACAAAGATACTACATGCTAATGCTAATGTTGGAACCAAAGATACTACATGCTAATGCTAATGGCGAAAACAAAGATACTACATATTAATGCTAATGGTCGAACCAAAGATGCTACCTGCTTATGCTAATGGTGGAAACAAAGATACTACATGCTAATGCTAATGGTGAAACCAAAGATTCTACA